GCGGGGCCGCCGCCCGGTTATAAATAGCGGGGAGGGGCAGCTCGGCTCCCCCCATGCTCGGTTCCCCTCTCCAGGGCTTGGAGCGGAGCGGGATGCGGCGCCCTCCCTCCCTCCTCCCGCCCGCCGGCAGCATGAGCCCGTCCTTCCTCCTCCTCCTCCTCCTCCTCGCCCTGCCCGCCCGCGCCCGGCGAGAGCAGGTGCCCGGCGGGGCGCAGCGGGGCCGCAACGCCCCCGCGTCTTCCTCTTCCTCCTCCCCGGCGGCGGCGGGGCCGAGCCGCTTCCCGCGGAGCCGCCCGGATCGGCGGCGGGGCCGGCTGTACTGCCGGGTGGGCATCGGCTTCCACCTCCAGCTGCACCCCGACGGCCGCGTGGACGGCGCCCACGACGCGAGTCCGCTCAGTGAGTGGGGGATGAGAGAGCTGGGGGGCTGCCCTGCCCGGGCCGGGGTAACGGGGCTGAGCATCTTTATCCTTGCTGTCCTCCCGTCCCCGCGGGGGGGTGGCAGAGCCCCTCGCTCCCGTCGCCCTCACCTGGTGTGAGCCGTAGCCCTGGCGGCCCAGGGAAGGGGCATTTGCGGTGCCCGGGGCGGGGGGGGCTGGGTTCTGCGGGCTCCGTGAGAACAGCCTGCCTTCCTCTGGGAAGTGCCGCTTGGGCCGGGGAAGCGGGTCCATGGGGATGGTGTGAGGGCCTGAGGTCTGCACTCCCACCGCGGCCCCTTCCCGGCGCCTGGAGGAGAGGATGCTGCCCCTTTGCTGTCCTTTCCCCGTGTAACTTTTCCATCCCTGTCTCTGCATTCTCATTCTCCCAGCACAGTGATAGGATATATTCAGTTTAAAAATAGGACTGAGGCTGACGTTCCCCTGAGAGGGAGCTGTGCTAACTCATGGCTTATCCTCCGGTCGGAGTTGCCACGATATCCTGCTGGAGGGAATGAAATGGCAGGTGGGGATGAAAAATTACTTCAGGAGCCCAAGGGCTCGGGCCCGAGGTGACCCTGGCAGCGTGCGTGGCTCAGCTGTCGGGAGCGCTCACAGAGCAGCCGCCACATCTGCCCAGCACCGAAGAATTCGGGCCCCGCGCTGTGCCGCGGCCCCATGAGGGAGGGCAGGGGCTCTGCTCAGGGCTTCGTGGGCGCCACAGGCACGGGGCCTGGAGGGGTTTGTAGGGGATGGAGAAGAGAAGGGGGCACGTGTGCCATGGATGGTTTGGGAGGGCTGGCAGAGGTTGGGTGCTACAGCTGTCCTGCAGAGACCTGAATAATGTCAAGTTCCGTCCTCCTTAACCTGAGACTTCCCCCCACCCCGGAAAGACGACGGAGACACCARCTTTGCACCTCGGAGCAGAGCCAGCCCTGGCTGGGGACACGGGCTGGTGAGGGTGGGCTGAACCGGAGTCTTACGGTGTGGAGTCCTCCGTGAGGAAGGAGTTGGCTTTGGGCAGGGAAACCCCAGCTTTGTCCCCTGGGAAACGGGGCTTGACCCTGCACAACCCCACTAAACAGGAGTAGGGCTGCCATGGCAGCAGGGCCACCTTGAAAAGGCTGCAGGTTTTGGGATGCCTTTGAGGACAGACGTGTTTGACAAGGTCCAGTGGGGCTGCCTTGCATTTGGCTTGGGGCACRTGGGTGAGGGGGTGGCAGCCCATGAGCCCGCCCAAGTGTCCCCCAGGCCCTTGGTCTGGGACTCGGGTGCCGGATGGAGATGCGCTTCCTCCTTAAAATAAACAAGGGAAGTGGTGATTCGATACCCAGCCTTGTGGGATTTACCGGGGCTTCATGTTTGCTCACGGCATGCTAATCCCATGGCCCTGTGGGCTCCGTGGGCTCCCTCCCCTGGGGTCGGGCACACGTGAAGCTGCTCTCCAGGGCACGCTGGGAACGTGGTGCTGCCCCACGGCTGGCAGGGCTCGGGGGAATGCCTGTGCCTGAGCCACCCCACAGCGCTCAGGGAGCTGATGTGGCAGCGCTGTTGCTGAGGGATGCTCGGAGGTTGCGGCTCCTCTGTAGGATGAGTTGTGAGTCACAGGTGCCCTGGCAGGGGCCACAACCCCCATCAAGCTCAGAAAATTCCCCTTTTTCCCGCAGCTGGGCTGCTCAGCGCCCCATTCCCCAGGCCCTGCTGCGAGGACGGGATCAGAGGGGGCATCACCAGCACCTCTGTTCCCAGCTGGGCTGTGTGACAATGACTCCCTGAGTTCGGTGTCTGCRGGACAAGGCTGATCCCAGCAGGCTGCTGCAGATACAGGGGGCTTTTCCCACCCTTGGGAGGGGGGTCACTTGTTCTGCCACAGCCCAGCTAGGAACGGTGCCCCAAAATTGAGCTTTAAAAAAACCCCCCAAGTTCCAGCTATCATACTGTATCCATACCAGGGTGGATGGAGGCCAAGCTGCTCTATGGGGCAGAGGGATGGAGCAGGAGCTGAGTGGAGCCAGGGAGCTGAGGAGCAGGGGCGTGGGAGAGGAAATGCAAATCTGTCAGACTGAGTTGTATTTATTTTCTTTTTGTCACACCGATGTGAAAAGAACTGTGATTTATTTTGGGATTTCTGTCATCCTAGGTATTTTGGAAATATTTGCCGTGTCTCAGGGGATTGTAGGAATACGAGGAGTTTTCAGCAACAAATTTTTAGCGATGTCAAAAAAAGGAAAACTCCATGCAAGTGTAAGTAATTCCGCCCCCCCCCC